AACTTCTGTTTCTGCAGCAGTATCAAACTGTGCTGATTCCTATATCTCCTAACATATTTTAATATCTGACAGATCTGAATCTTCCTTTTGTTCTTCATAAAAGGTATCTCAGCAAATATACCATTTCTAAATGAAAAAAAATTACATTTATTTTAATAAAATATTTTAAATACCTTAATTTTAAATTATAAGCCTTACTTGAATCAAGTTCTTTATCTTTTGAAATGTGTATACAAAATCAAAACCTTATACATTTTCTTAGAAGCTTGGTTCATGTAGCAAAACCTGGAAATGATACAAATGTCCACCAACAAGTGAATGGTATAAACAAGTAGTGGTATACAATGTAATATTACTCCTCAGGAAAAATAAACAAATTAGCATTACATATATACTATGATGGATAAATCTCAAAAACATTATGTTGAGCAAAGGAAGCCAGACACATGGTGTGTGCTTCTATTTATATAAAGTCATAGAACAGTCAAGACTAATCTAAAATGACATAAAACACATCAAATGATTGCCTGCGGTAGGGAATTCTTCAAATCATACAATAGCTGAAAGATAGCTATTCTATTTTTAGAAACAGAGATAGGACTGAAGTCATGTCTAGGATGTACAGGTGCTCCACAATTTTGCTCTTCAGTGTCTACGGATAAGTATGCTGATAGTTTTAAAGTGATACTAATAATATCACCAATAAGAGCTAAAATTTATATTGTATTTATTATCTACCAGACATTGCAATAGTTTATACATATTCCATTTACTCACTGCAAAGGACTTAATAGGTGAGTATTATTACCTTTGTTTTATAATGAGAAAACTGAGGCACAGAAAAGTTGAAAAATTTACCCACAGTCACACAGACATTAAATGACTGAATTATGAATCCAGGTAGTCTGGCCTTAGAGTCTGTGCTGTTGACCATGAGCTGCATCAAGACTGAAAACACGTTCTGTCTACACAGCATAACAATAAAAGGTTGATTTAGCAAGATCAGCAAAAAGTTGACTCGTTAGAATTAGCAAAGGCAAATTTTGGGAAAAATTCATTAAGTGGAGTTATTATCATTTAAGGTTTGAGGAAAAAATTATAACATCTCTCCAATTAAAACAAAACCAGAAAGAAACAGAAAACTGACTGCAGAAAGGAGTGGGATTTTGGAGGGCCTGTTATCCACACTACTGGATTCAGCCAGTTGTACGCCCCTTGCTTAAACAGGTTTGTGTAAACGGGATCAGTTCCTTCATCTGTCTGAAAGGGAATTTTTCAGTCTGTCACTAAGAGCCAAAATCTTTTTTTCTGTTACTCTGCTCCTAAAGATGTTTGTAATTAGTTTGTGATTTACTGAAATTTTCCTGGTTGTGGGAAAATTTGAGATCTACCGTCCCAACAAATTTTAAGTGTACAATAGTGTCATGACTGTAGGTGCAAAACTGTACATATTCGTAGAACTTAGTCGTCTTGCTTAACTGAAAATTGATGCCTGTTGATTGTGAATTCCCATTTTCCCTCCCATAGTCCTTGGCAACCACCATTCCATTTGTTCCACTGGTTGGCAGGATTTCCTGCGATTTTGAGTGAGTAGTGTTCCATTTATGCATATACCACATTTTCTGTATTCATTCATCTGTTGATGGACACTTGTTTCCACTGCTTGGCTATTGTGAATAATGCAATGAACATGAGAGTGCAGATATCTTTTTTAGATCCTGACTTCAATTCTTTTGGATTAACACCCAGAAGTAGGTAAGTGGAGTGCATAGGACAACTGTCCTCAATTTTTTCCAAGACTCTCCATACTGTTTTCCCATAGTGGCTGCACCACTTTACAGTCCCACTGACAGAGAGTAAGGTTTTCTACTTTTCCACATCCTCACCACTATTTGTTTCCTTTTTTCTCCTCGGTAATAACTATCCTGACATTGTGACCATTCTTGTCTCCACGATTCTTTCACACCGTGCCTCCAGGTATGTGAGAGCTTTTCTCATGTGAGAACTGCCTTTCTTAAGGTCACTTCACTGCCTACCCCATTCCATTTGGGAAACTCTGTATGTTAAAAGATGTCTCCCTGGTGCATATTCTCATCTGAAATTTATGAAGCAGTGTGCTCAGTGCCACACAGCAAATATTATACCATTTTCCTTCTTAAGTATTTAGTGGACACAATGAATGGTCGTGGTGTATAAAGGTGGCCACAAATCCTCTCATACATTTGCTTCTGTTTAATAAAGGTGGTGGTGGATTCTGGTTAAAATATGTTTTTAGAAAAGAAACTAGCCTCCAATATCAATGGTGCTAAAAATTATTATCAAACATAATTTCCTGTCATGTTATTATATCTAAAATCAGCTAGCTTGATTACCCCAGCTATGTACTTGGTCTGACCTGTCTAAACATACATATGACATCAACATTTTGTGTAATGTGTTACTTTATCTCTATGTATCTCTCTCCCATTGATCAGCCTCTTAGAGGCATATAGGATTAGTGAATGCCTTTAAAATAAAAAGGAACACTTCTACATACTCTCTTTACCTTTTTTTCTCCCAGTCTCTTTTTTCCCCTCACCCAAATTCCCTGCCATGGCTCTCTGTCTATATCTGTATTTCTGGGGCAAAAGATTAATAAGAGAGGGCCTCCCCAGTGGCTCAGCGGACAGAGCGCAGCGCCATGAAGCTGTCTGCAGCCTCTGCAGCACGGGTTTGATTCGCGGCCGGCCAGGGGGATACCCACATATAGCACAGCAGACCTCTCCTGTCTCGCCCGCTGCTCCCCTAGCAGTGTTTTCAGTTGTCTGCCTGTTCTGCTCCCTACTTTGCCTCTGGTGAATTCTCTCACCCTTCCACGCCTCTGGCCTGTACCCCAGTTCTTGTATAAATAAAATAAATAGTAAAAAAAAAGATTAATAAGAGAAGTGCTAGCAGTAATGTGGAGACCTGGAGCAGGATGCTTGCTAGGCCAGCACTGGTAGGTTGGAAAGGGAGTGGCTATACAGGTTGGCGAGTTTATTGTTTTCTAGTTCACCAATGGGGATATCAAAGAAATAGAACACACTTTATTTACTTTAATATGTCTCAATAGAGGACACCTAAATTTTACAAGACATGGGAGAAACCCTCTCCAATTTGTTTCTAATGGGTTTATTAGTAAAATGGGAAAGAATAGACATCTGAGACAGGGGTTGTTATTACAGGGCCTGCTGAAATCACAGGGCATTAAGGTATTTCTAATGGCACTCAGGATGCTGTAGCAGGTAAATATGGGTATCTTGTGATTGTTATTCTATCAGTTTCCTGCTGCTATAATAAAATACCATAATCTCCATGACTGACATAACACAAACTTATAATTCTGATGGTCAGAAGTCCTAAAATCAAAGGGTTTGTTTTTGGTAAGGCTGCACTTTCTCTGAAGGTCTAGGGGAGAAGTTGTTTCTTGACCATTGTAGCTTTTAGAGACTGTCCATATCCTGTAGTTTCCATCTTCAAAGCCAGTGTTCACATCACTGAGCTCTGTATCTGTGGTTACAGCTCCTCTCACTATGAGACCCAGACTCCCAGTTACAATGACCATTACAGTTTACCTTGGGCCCACCCACATATTTGAAGAACATCCCCCCATTTCAAGATCTTAATCACATCTGCAAATCCATTTAAACAAGGTTGCATTCTCCATTTACAGGTTTTGGGGATTAGAACATGGACATCTATGTTCTAAATATGTTCTACACAGGATCTATTATTCTTGTACTCTCATACCTGTCTTACAGCAGGTATGCCATTTACTACTGCTTGCCGCTTACTACTATTGAATACTCTTGGGTTCTTGGGTTGCTTGGGGCCAGCTAGACTGCACTGTTTTTACTTTTTTGAATTCTTCTCCAAATAGGATCCAAAAGAACAACTGTGCTCTGATCAATCTACAGAACTACACAGGTTAATCCCCAGAGCGTTTTTGATTGATGCACACTCTGTGCTTGATGCAGAGAACCTACTGGTTTTAAAAATTTCAGTGCTAATGATGGGTACATTTCGGAGGTATTCTTCTCACCTAGGAAATAAAGCAAAATGAATCCTCTGGATCAAGACTCTAAGTCCACAAAATTCCAATCTATTTCTGACCATGACCTGACAGTTCTGGGAGCTGACAAGAGTTGTAAATGCACCTTTTAATGGCCAGTTTCCACAAAGCATGATATAAGAACACCGAATCATCCAAATTATATCGGCGGCCTGCCGCTAGCATCAGTCACCAAAGAAAACTGCCTTCCCACTGAAATTTTATGAAAGCAGTGCGCCAGGTAAAATTCTTCATTCTATTAGTCTGCATGCTTTCATTAGAGAAACAGAAGTGCAAAGTGTGAGGGGAAAGGTGAGCAAGGAGGTAGGTGAGATGACAGACACCAGGTAGTGGCACATGATTTCCGTCCTGATGACAAGAGGATGTGTTGTTGGAGCTTAGAGGGATGAAGACAGGAGGGCAAGGGGGAAACCCAGGGCTATGACTGGGCATTCTGGCTAGGGGTGTTCTGGCTTGGTGGGTGGAGCTGCAGTCCTGAGATGGGACGTGGGAAGAAAAGCAGGGCTGGGAGGCAGGATACATCCAAGTAAGTGTTGCTATGGGACAGTCAACCTGAGGCGGCCAATAGCAGTTGGCTCCCTGAGGCTCAGGAGAAGACTTGGGTTGAGGGCCACCCCTGGTGGCACAGGTGGTTGAGCGCAGCGCTGTGAAGCTGTCCGCAGCCTCTGCAACAGGTTCGATCCCGGTCTGCCTGGCGAGAAGCCCACATGGCGCAGCAGACCTCTCCTGTCTCACCTGCTGCTCCCCTCAGCAGTGTATTTCTTCAGTCTGCCTGTTCTGTTCCCCGCTCTGTCTCTGGTGAATCCTCTCGCCCTCCCGCACATCTGGCCTGTACCCCGGTTCTTGTATGCATGAATAAATAAATCTTAAAAAAAGAAGACTTGGGTTGCAACTCAGATGCATGACTTACCCGCGTGAGGCTGGAAACAGAGGTCAGCTGGGAACAGGGCAGAGAGTGTGATGAGGAGATGGCCACACCAGGCCTGAGGAGGCCCAGCCCCCCGAGAACGGGCAGAGGAAGGCCTGCAAGGACACCCAGGAGTGGCTTCAGAGGTGGAAAATCAGAAAGAGCTGGGGTGCTAATCCCTGGGGCCCCCCCATCTCTTCAGACACCTCGCAGTCGGGACCAGGGCGGGCAGGAGAGTCAGATAAGGGGGTTGACCTCGCCGTCACCTCAGGTAAGGGCTGACCTCACCCTTCAGTCCTCTCCTCAGCCCTGAGGCACGTGTGTCCCAAAACGCACCCGTTTCCACTCGCGCCAAAGTGGGCGCCGGGAAACGCGTTAGCCCCGGGCTGCACGAGGACCTCCCGAGGAGGAGCCGCCGCGGCACCGCCAGCCCCCGGGAGCTGGGGCAGCGGAGAGAAACTCCGGGGGGCCGTCGGCAGCGAGGGGCGCGGGGACACGTACCTCAGGCCGCGCGCCCTCCGCCGCGGGGTGTGTGGGGAGCGCGCGGGGGCGCGACCGGCTCCCGCCGCCGCCTTCGAGCGGAGAGCCACAGCGCCCGAGCCCGCGGCCGCCCTTCTCCCGCCTGGAGGCCATTTCTCCACAGCCGACCGGGGCAGGAGGGGGCGCCGGGCCGAGCGTCCCCGTCAGACTCGCGCCTTCCCTGCGGCTGACCCCGCGGCGCCCCCCGCGCGGGCGGGAGAAGCGGCCTGAGGGAAGGCTGAGGTAACGGGGCGCGGGGGGCGGGGTCGCCGCCCGCCCGCCCAATCACCGCGGCCGCTCCCGCTCTCCGCATACATTATGCTAATGATGCCTCCCGCTCCGGTCCCACCCCCGCGCCCGCCCCTCGCGGCTGTCCCGGCGGGCGGGCGGTCGAAGGTGAATACATTATGCTAATGAGGTCTCCCGCGCCCGCCCCCTCGCGGCTGTCCCGGCGGGCGGGCGGGCGAAGGTGAATACATTATGCTAATGAGGCGGGCGCCCGCCGGCGGGGCGGGAGGGGCGCGCGGCGGCGGGGCTGCGCCGCGGGGGTCGGGGGAGGGCGGGCGCTCGGGGCGCGCGCGCTCCTCTCGCTCTCACACGCGCTCGCACCCCGGCTCCCCGGAGGGGATATAAGGCTCGCACGCGCGCGGCTGAGGAGACGCTTCGGGCAGCCGCCGCGCGGGCCTGGCGACGCGCCTCCGCTCCCCGGCCTCGCGCCGCCGCTCCCCGCGCGCCCGGCCCCGTGCGCCCCCGCGCCTCCTCAGCCCTCTCCAGACGTACAATTTTTTTTTTTTTTTTTGTGACTGGAACCGACTCCAGGTGAGAAACAGGTCGGCGTGTGGAAAACCCTGAATGAGGAGAAATTAGGCAAACTAACCCGCGCGCAACAGGTCGGCTCCGGGGCGCCGGGCCCGCGGCCCGCGGTGCCGTCTGTGTGGACCTGACGCGCGGCCGCTGCCGGGCTCCGAACCCCGGTCCGAGGCGCAGAAGCGGAGGCGGGTCCGGCCCGCGGGGTGGGCGCTCACCAAGCCCCGGTCCGGCTCCGGCCGCGCCAACTAGTTGTGCCGCCCCCCGCGCCGAACTTTGCAGGAACCGGCCCTTTTTCCTTCCTCGGGAGACGCCGCCGCGATGCTGCTGAAGAAGCCGGCCGGGAAGGCAGCGGCCCGGGAGCCGCGCTCCGAGGACCCGGGCCCCGCCGGGCCGCGCTGCGCCCGCCCCGTGCCCCCGTGCGCCGCCCTGGCCGCGCTCCTGTCGGTGGTCGCCGTGACGGCCTGTCTCTACCTGGGGGTGCAAACCAGCGCCCTCCAGGCGAGGATCGCCGCCCTCGAGTCCGCCAAAGGCGACCCTGCCATCCGCGTGCTGCCTGATTCCCTGGACCAGCTGAAAGCAATGGTGCAAGAGAAGGTGGAGCGCGCTCTGGCTCAGGTGTGGAAGGCTGGGGTTCTTTGCACGTGGAGAACGCCTTGCACAGGCTTTCGGTGCGCGCGGCCAGCCTCTCCGCATGCTGGGGTGGCTGCGTGTGCATTCGCTGGGCGACCCTCTAGGCCCCCTGTGGCGTACATTCCTCTCAGCACATCCTCTGCTATCGCCCTCTGTCCTTCCCCCTCTTCCTGACGTTTGCATGCGGAACACCTGAGGAGGTCTTGCGGGGAGGGGGGGCCAGAATAGGTAAGGGGGCGTTTTATCTTTTCCTGAGCTTCCTGGACTCGAACGCCCGCTGCTCTTCCCCACCCAGTGTGTGGAGAACATTCTTTGCAGAGATAACATCTGTGTTCGTCCTCCCATAAGATCAGAGGTGTTATTAGTATACAAAGAGTAATACTTTGTAAGAGGGAAATAGCCCTACATGATTATAACGCAATGATTTCAACCATTGAGTGTTTACTTAGTAAATATATATATTTTTTAAATCATGGCTTTATTTTTTCTAACACAGAGGTGTTGGAGTTGAGCCTAGAGAGGAATCTGTGTTATGCCTATCAAGCCCAGGGTACGCTTCAAATTAGAGTTAGGAGGATTTCTGGAACTTGCCTTCCCCAGAGGCTGTTTGGAAGTAGTTGCCACTCAACACGATAAACAGTTGACCTTCATGCATGAAATGTCCATATACAAACCCATAGCTTACCTAGAGCTGCAAAATGTGAATGCCAGGGTTTTGCACTGGCTGATATACTTGAGCCGAGGGAGAGGGTGATGGTGGCAGTGGTTGAAGAATGGAGAAAGATACTATGCACATCCTGTAGTTTTGATGCCATGTCAGTGCTCATTTTCTTTTTTTAGGACTTGGGTACTATTACCTTTTGACTGACGTCCAAGTCCATATGTAAACGTGACTTTTGCAGGCTATCCATGTTGGTGAATCAAGCATCTGGCCAGAGAGTCAGGTGGTCCATTTCTCTATGGTGCTACTGATGGTTCTTAATACCTTTTCTTTTCCTACAGAAATCCTACGAGCATATGGCTAAAATAAGACTCGCAAGAGAAGCACCTTCAGAGTGTAACTGCCCGGCAGGTAAATGGTACTGATTTAACCATGTTTCCTCCACAGCAGAGCACTTGAAAACAAAAGTCCTGTCTGTCAAGTCTACCTGTAATAATAGTAAAGAAAGAATGCAGACCCAACTTACTTTAATAAAATCAACATGTCTTAGTCAAAAGAATAGCAAAGAGAGCTCCAAATATTATTTTAAGCAGCATTCCAAATCCTGGTATGGGAAAGCAGAGGACATCAAGATAATCCCCCAGGAAAATATGGGCATGATGCTCTTCCAAAGTTCTTAGATTCACAGAAAAGTATTCTCCAATTTTACTCAATAATTTTATTTTCTATTGTGAAAAAAAATTCCTTGGTGGCTCATGTTACATTAGTCTTGGTCTCCGTTTGTTCCCTTTGACACAGAATTGTATTAGTTAACCTCCTTAACTTCTCTTGCTTTTATTCTTCTCATTCAGAAATGTTCTCTTTTATCCTATTGCTGAAGATGAGGACTGAAAAGAAGTTTGTGCTTTATCTTGGGCTTTCCATCATAAAATATAGCATATTCTCATTGTCTTCTCAGAAAAAGCTCTTCTACGTACCATTTTCTGTGCTGCTTTAGGGAACTGGATTAATGACAGCATATCAGTAGAAGGATGGAGAAAAGCACCATCAGAGAACAGACTCCCCTGGGTAATCACTAAATCTTCCTTCACAGACTTCTGAGGCTTGGTAGTCAGTGAGCTGAGGGCTAACAATTTAGAAGGCCTTGGAATATGGCCATTGGACAACATCTTGTGGATTCAACTGATGTAAGCCGTGAAAAACTCCCAGGAGTCATGAGATTTTATTTCAGATCGGTCTTGTTACTGCATTTATGAATATTTTAGTTTCTTTATATCATCACTTTTGGAAAAGTATGTTTCTTACATTATCTTTAATGTTCAGAAACATGATATTTAGATACTTATCTATGGGAAGGCTAGTCTGTGTATTTTTTCATATTCTGAGGGTTTTTTAATTCTTTTTCATGGTAACTTGTTTAGACACAGCTAAACCAGGCACCATGTTTAGAAATTCTATATGTCAGCTTCTCATTGTACATCATAACCAATTTTACTATTTATGTTCTGCTGGATTGTTAACCATTATGAAACTATAGTGGTTTTTTTTTTTTTTTTTTAATGAAGCTCTTTCTGTGGACAAGACATTCAGAAATAGGAAAACAAAGAGTTAAGGTTTGACATCGTAGGCTTACTTTTAAGTTGTTTTAAGTTGGGCAGGACCTCAGAAGTCAGAAATTCAAGGAAGGCACTTTTCTCCTGCAGGACTTAACTCGAAACAACCTCATCAGCCTATAGGGATTATTTAAATCCCCAAAACAGTTGGTACCAGACTTCACTGATCAGACCACTTAAGAGATCAGCCTTTTTTCTGAATACAGTATTCTTCCTGAAGAGGTGAACACTAACCAGTGTTTAATTCATCGGATTCTTAGTCAATGAGGTAAAAAACTGCTTCATGTTGTTTATGTAAAGGAGTTGTTAGTTTGACAACAACCTAATTCATAATCTGGAATAAATAGGACATTGAGAGTTTACTTTAAATTATCTTGCAAGATCATTTTGAATCATTTATCTTTCTAACATATTAATTTGATAATGTTAAATTAATATGTTAGAAAGATGGTTTCACCATCATAAATAAATAATAAACAAGCACAAGATAAGTGGCTCTTTCTATGGCTTTTTTTTCTCACACTCTCACCAATGGCTGCTTTACTTTCTTGCCACCACTAGAGCTCCACATCACATCAGTTTTTACCAGGTTACTTGCGAGGTAAATATCTGAAGGTGCATCCTCCAACCCATAGACTGAAAAGATTTCTTGCTGACAAATCGCTGTGACAGAAGTGGTCTCTGCGTGTAGAGTAGTGTGATGTCATCAACATTAAGGTTTTATGTTGCAAATAGTATCGTGGGAAAAACACGTGATGTGGGCTTTTGGTCGGTGAGGGACTGTCTCTGGGAACGAATCAGGGAGAAGGAGCTTTCCACCTGGTTTGGCTGTCACCCCGGTTGGCAGTGACTGAGCGTTGTCACCCGACATCTGTTGGTAGGCAGAGTGAGACAAGTCTGTGACCTCAGCTCAGTTCCTGTGGACACTTGCCCACCCCTTGAAGTTGACACTCTTGTTGACAGTCCCCGTCACAGAGCCAAGGGCTGATAGCAAGGGACTAATGCTGTGTGGTTTGTGTTCGCTTTAATCACTTTTCGTAGGACTTAGCTCCACTGGGGTTTTTCCAGGTAGGCTATAAGGAAATCATAGAGTTGATAGACCTTTTTTTCTTAAAAACACAGGAAGGAACTTGTGTGGAAGAGGGATGAGAAAGACTACCATTGAATGGTTTCTAATGAAAAGGGAAGCACTTGCTCTTTTCATCTGTACAACAGCCCTGAGAGCTAAGTATTAATAATCTCGTTTTACAGATGAGGGAACTGGACTCAGAAAAGGTGACCAACTTAATA